AGGCGCTGCAGCAAATCCCCAAGGCTCCCTTGGCAGCACCTTCCAAACCCACAACCTCCACTGGCTAGAACAGAAAGGTCTGCGGATGTATTGGGATGCTACCACCTGTAAGTTCCTTTCCAAATCACACAACTTCCTAACATGCAGCTGGGTCAAAATCCTGGAACACCCTTCCTAACAGCACTATGGATGTACCAACATCAAATGGACTGTATGTGATTCAAGAAGTCAGCACAATTAATGCTGGCCAGCAATGTGTTGATCTTGTGAATGAATACATGTTAAAAAAGCTACAAATAGGGAATTTGTCTTTACCCTAAGTTGTTCATTAGATTGCAGCTATTCCAGTGAAATAGTGACTAGCTTCCTATTATGAATTATTTTATACAACATTATATAATCTGAATGATGTCGGTATCGAAAAGAAAATAATTTCCCCATCCTGTAATGTTTTCTCCCTTGGCATCAAATAGCAAAGAATGTACTTCTGTAGATATTCCTAAATATTTAGAGCAACATTTCTGCCTATAGAGCTCACCTGAAGGCCTTATTTTGACTTCGAGGGGAGGTGCTTGCTCCTTCAGTTCCAACGTCTTTCCCAGTCATCTCTGGTATGGGAGAATCTTCCATTGGTGAAATAATATTCTCCTGAGAAAGGAGAGGAAATCGCAGAACAGGTCAGCAATGAAGAAGATATGGGTATGAAATTAATCTCTAAGGAAGACAGAAGTCCTTTAAACATAGCGGAACAACATGAAGGAAAATCCCTTCACCTTGCACTACGTTTGAAAATTCACAAATTAAGAACATGAAGGGTGACGCAAATAGTGAAGGATCAATTTCTTTTAATAAGTTATCACAGTTATACAGTTTTCTCATTTCTTCAATGTTAAAAGGAAGGAGATTAAAAAGATTTAAATTATAACTTAGCCAGCAGATGGTACAATGACATAACTGGATTTAGTATTTCAAGGTTGACCAGATCTAGATTAGGCCTTTGGGTACTGCAGGTTTGGATTTGACAGCGATTCTCTGCGTCCCCAGTTGAATACTCCACCGATAATTATCTTTTGGGATGATATTTGACCACTTTTATGAGACATTAGGAGGAAATCCACCATCTTTGGAACGATACCCCAACAAGACAGCACTTTCAGAACAGAACGGAGAGGAAAAAGAATTGGTAGATAAAAAGAATTAAAAACCAAATCTCTCTAATTCCAACCTAGTCCTTCATCACTCTTCACCATGCTGGGATCAGTTCTGACAAAGGGTTGCAGAAGAACATTAAATCAACATTTCCTTTGTCAATTGCTGAACAACCTGCAGTTTGTTGCCAGCACAATTTCTTTAACTATTTTAAAAAAAGTCATGCTTCTAATGATCTTTTCGCCCAGTCACGAGACTGCATTGCTTAATCAGCCACGTTTCACATTGCAGAGCTACCACAACATGACCTCTACAGAGAAAATGGTTTTACTTTTGGATTCATAACCAATTCCTCAGTCTAATGGGGTGTGGACAGCTCTCCTTCTACCTCAATGAACTCTCAAACAACTCAAAGCCAATGAAGCAAAAATAACAAACCACACCCAATCTTGAACTACTCTAGCTGTTCAGTAGGTGAAAGGAGCATGTAGTATGGAACATAGGTGTACAATATTTAAGTTCAGTCATGGGTGGGAAAGGATGGAACTTCGATTTTATGCATCTTTTCTGAATCACTGCAAATTTACTTTTCTTCAACATGATAGATTTTTCAGATTTTAAATAAATCAGTATTTGCTGAAGCAGAGAGGTTTCTCATCTCACCTCCACCAAAGCTTGGAGTAATCTCTGAGTGAGGGGCCCAAAAGGAGATCCATCTTCAGGCTGATCATGCTGGTCTTTCTTCAGCAAAGCATCCACATCTAACAGCAGTGATACCAAACAAAAAACATGTTCTCAGTTACAATAAAAGTGAGCATTTATGTGATAACAAGGTGTAGAGCTGGATGAACACAGCAGACCAAGCAGCATCAGAGGAGCAGGAAGGCTGACGTTTCGGGCCTAGAACCTTCTTCAGAAAAAAAAAAGCCTGTCAATATAACCAGTCCAGATTTGTTCTAAATAATTACTGACAGCTGCAGCCTTTTCTTACAATTTAAAGAGCAGAGGATTTAAAAGTAATTCTCAATCATAACAGTTAAATAGACAATTGTCCTTTAAAACCATTTATATCTAATTCATGAATTCCTAACTTCCATACTGTGGATTAAGGCCCTTGAAATAGCTAAAATGGGATCTGTTTCAATTTAAAAGGCCCTGCTAAGCTTATTTCCCCTACTGGCAAAAATTGGATTGTTTGTAAATGGGGTGCAACTTGCGCATCTGGCTTCTTCTCTCTATTTTTAAAGATGCTGCAAAAATCCAGCACTAAATGTTTCAAAAATCAAACAGCAATGTTACCGTGAATGCACCCCATAAATCAGAGACTGATGTTTTCATACCAATGCAAAGTCAAACCACATGTTGCTTAAAATCATTTTTCCTCATGTTGTCTCTGGTGCTTTTGACAACTATTTTAAACCTGTGCCCTCTGGTAGCTGCCATTAGAAGGAGTCTCTCTTATTTTGTCTGTCTAAACCTTCCTTGATTTCAAATAGTTCAATGAAATTCTTGGTGCATTTTCCCAGCACAAACTGTTGTGGGCTTATTTCTTTGAAAAACTTATTTATCAGGATACCACCAAATTACCCCTATCCACACTTGGACATTATAGATAGCTGTTCATAACATGTCAACATTGTCTCAGTTGGCAGCACTCTTGTCTCTCAGGCAGAAGACCATAAAACACTGTCATCCCAGTGTAGTAGAGGCAAATCTGACATTCAGATGAGATGTTAAATGTAGTCCCGTCTGTCCTCTGGACAAAAAAGACTCTATGGCACCTAATTCAAAGAACAGCAGTAGAATTAATCTAGTGTTCTGGCTACTTTTACCCAAAAACAGGCGACCCAGCCAATATTTGTGGCTTATTTGCAGGTGTTTACGGTCTTCAAACTGGCAGCCTACACGAATGCAGTGTTTCCTACACTATAACAATGACTGTCTGTTAATATGCACTTCATTGATCATTAAGTGCTTTGCGATATCTGGTAGTTGTAAAAGGGGCTACGTAAATGCCAGGGCCACATATCAAGAGCAGGGAAGACGAGATTAGATTGGAAAGCTCTTTTTTGGCCAGGACAGACACAATGGCTCTTCTTCAGTCCATTAAGATTTCTGACTTCTATGCTGAACACCTTCATCAAATCTCTACTTCTGCTCCCTGGAAATTCAAGGAAATCTCTTCCATACCTTTTCTGAAACTTTCCTTCATTCCTAATGTGTAGGGCCCAGAACCAGATTCAATATTCCAATTGGTGCCGATTAATGTTTTATATAGGCTTAGAAAATTTCAAGGCTTTTGCACCAAGTGCCTCTACCTATAAAGCCCAGAAAAAAACATGCTCTATTAGATGCTTTGCCACCTTCAATGATTTGTGCACAAACAACCCAATCTCTCTCTCTTTTTGCATTCCCTTTAAAATTGTGCCATTAGCATTGACGTACCTTCTAGCAAATGTTGCCACAGAAGGATACAAAGCTGAGGTGCAGTGAGGTCATGGAGGAAATTTTAGATGTGAGCAAAGAATTAACTATTAGGGTTAAAGGGAACCAGTGCAGAACCATAATGATGAGAGATATTGGGTGAATGGGACACATTGCAGGTGCAGTTTTAGAACTTTAATCCAACTGTCCAGATACGTCATGACTCATCGAGCAGGTGGGACTTTGGTGTAGTTTTAGAAAGGGTAGCATCGAGTCAGCATTAACAAGATATTATGTGTTTTATTAAACTGCTTCCTCATCAGGAAAAGACAGGATAGCAGAAGGAAGCATAGGCAGCAAGCTTTGAAGGTTGAGCCTGATTGCCAGCAATTGGGATGGGAATTAAGTCAATCCCTCCTTAGCGAGTGGCAAACGGTCAGATGCAGATCAGATGCATCTGGCAGATCTTGTTGGTAGGCTTCATGCAGCAATTTTCCAGGAGGCCAGTTTAAAAACAAATATTGAAAGAATTCCCAGCATGGAATTCAATAAACTGGGAAATGAAAGAGAATGCATGAATGAGCTATAATTAAAGAAATAAAATGCAACACTTTCGAATGGAGTGTGTCAGTGTCAGCAGCTCAGGTCCCTTTAAGAGTCAATCAGAATAGTTCCTAAACTATTGCGAGTAGGTGATGCTCATTGGACTGTGTTCATGCCACAGTACTCTTGACCAATATAATAGCGTCACTGAACAGCCTGGTTAGAAAGTGTTAAGAAAGAGGTGTTTTATCAACTACATGATTTCCCTCTCCAACTCCATTTTGATTTAGTCCCCTCCCTTGTTTCTTCCCCTTTTTTGTTATTGTGACATTGCCTCTGCTAAGCCGTGCAGATTAACCGGGTGCTTGGGTGGTGGATTTTTCAGAATTTAAGAAAAGAAGAGCCAGGTTCTAGGCCTCTTGTGCTACTGACAGGCCCAGGTTCAAGACCCACTTGTTCCAGAAGTGTCACAATATGTCTGAACAAGTTGACTGAAAATATCTATAAGAGCTGGGTTCTCTGGTCCCTTCCCTTGTTTGCCCACTTGAATTATTTTTGGTGTTATCATTTGTAATTTATTCAATGGGGCAGCAGGGTGGCTCAGTGGTTAGCACAGCTGCCTCACAGCACCAGGGACACAGGTTTAATTCCACTCTCGGGCAACTTTCTGTGTGGAGTTTCCTCTGGGTGCTCCAGTTTCCACTCACAGTTCAAAGATGTGCAAGTTAGGTGGATTGGCCATGCTAAATTGCCCATAGTGTCCATGGATGTGCAGGTTAGGGATGGGAAATGCAGGGTTACAGGGATTCAGTAGGTCTGGGTGGAATATTCTTCAGAGGGTTGGTGGTAACTCAGTGGGCTGAATGGCCTGCTTCCACACTGTAGGAATTCTATATTTTAATTTGTAAAGTTGATGGTGGGTCTTTTTATATTTAAAAAAAAAAACAGCTGGGTTGTTACTTGTTAATTGGCCATAAGACATTGGTAGAGAAGCAGGCCATTCAGCCCATCAAGTCTGCTCTGTCATTCAATGAGATCATGGTTGATCTTATAATCATAGAATCATATGGTACAGAGGAAGCCCTTTGGCCCATCAGGTCTGTACCACCAACAATACAGCACTACCTACACCGGTCCAACTTTCCTGCACTAGGCTCATAACCCTGAATGTTACAACGCTTCAAGCGTTCATCTAACTACTTTTTAAAGGTTGTGAAGTTACCTCCCTCAACTACACTCCCATCACTTTCTGGGTGAAAGGATTTTTCCTCTAAACCCACTGCATTTCACTTGTGTCCCCTTATTCTTGACCCTTCGATTAAGGGGAACTGCTGCTTTCTCTATTCACCCTGTGCATGCTCCTCGATCTTATTAAGGTGGAAACTGGTGTTTGAGCTAAATAATAGGTGGTGAATAAAGCTCTTGAAAATCTCTGAAAGTCTTATGTTGCCTAATTCGCAACATGGATATTGGTTTATTAAACAGTGAGCAGCTCATTGCGAGTTGAGTTCACCTTTTGAGTCGAATTCAGCTAAAGCTCCGAGCATGCCTTTCTTCTTCTCTGCAGCGGCTGCAGCACGGGCACCTTCCTTCTGCTCCTCTAGAAGGTCCTCCTGTGCCCATCGCTGAGAATAATGCTTCCCCAGAGGGGGGATCTGTGCAAACAGGAAAATGTTAGAGATTAAAATAATGTGGTGATTGAGTCATAGAATTGTACAGCATGGAAACAGACCCTTCGGTTCAACTCATTCATGCTGACCAGATATCCTAAGGCAATTTAGTCCTATTTGCCAACATTTGGCCCCTATCCCGCTAAATCCTTCCTATTCATGTACCCATCCAGATCCCTTTTAAATGTGGTAATTGTACCAGCCTCAGCCACTTCCTCTGGCAGATCACTGCATACACACAGCACCCTGTGCATGAAAAAGTTGCTCCTTTGGTCCCTTTTATATCTTTCCCGTCTCACTTTAAATCTATGCCCTCTAGTTTTGGACTTCCCTATCCTGGGAAAAACACTTGGCTATTCAACCTATTCATGCCCCTCATGATCCCTTAAAGCTCTTTATGTTATGGAATCACACTCCAACAGAACACGCACACAGTTGAACCAATCTTCCTTAAACAATGTCATATTGATCACAGCCATTAATATATAACAGTGCCATTCACATCTCACACTCCAGAACATGCACTGTGTGTTCAGCTGTGCTGCTTCACTATTCCTGTTGTTCTAATGAATACACAAACGCCCCATTTCCTCTCCTCCTTTGGCAAATGTAATTGAAAAAGCATTGGAACTCACCTTTCAGCTCATTATACATAATGGCTTCAAGGAGGCCTGTCAGCAGGATCCCAGCCTGCTCACCTAGTTGGGAATTGTGTCCCAAAGAGAGACAGATATCTCTTTAAAACCATCTCGTATGCGGTTTTGATGGGAGCTGATAATTAGGAACACCACTGGTTGCGAAGGATAACAAACCACATTATTAACAGATACTAAATTCGCTTGCCTTATTTTTGAGCTGATTATTAATTACACAATCAGCAAACAAAAAACAAGGAAAGAAAATTGGAGTGAAAGGAAGAATAGCAATGTTGGTTTGTAATTACCTTAATCTAAGTGGGGATTTACATCTGGACTACACTAATTCCTATTATGGAATGCTTGATAATGTTACTAATTCTCTGTCCAGCAATAGTTTTCCCAAATGACTAATAAAACACACATTCATATGTAAACCATACTCCCTCATACAGTATCTTTAAACCTTCCCTCAAAATGTATCATCACCTTCAACCTGTTTCTGAAAATCTCTTTTAGTAGTGATTTGGGCCAACAACTCCCTCTTTCCTGACTCTCTCTCTCACTCACTTCATCTATACTGGTCTTTCACCTTGTAATACTCTGCCTCATCTTCAGGGGGTTTCAGTAGGTCCTCAAGGACACGGATCTCCTCATTGGTGATGTCAGCACAGTACGGTTCCACTGATGCCCAGAACCTGCAGGAGGCGAATGTGAAGATGTGAAGTTGCTCACTGTTACTACAGAAAACTCAACGCTGGCTTCCAATAAATGCGAAGCTGTTGTGAACAAAGTTACTCAAAAATCAGTATGCAGCAATTCATGACTTTAGGTTCTGAGCAGAGCTTATTTTAACCAACAGTCACTATTCAATGTATCTATGTTCGCTTGATAAAAGGTATAGAAAAACAGTGTCAAGAACAACAGCAAGAGAGACAGAGAACAGAGGCTCACAGAATTTAATTCATTTCTATTAAAGTAAAACAAATTGTGGGTGCTGCATGTATGTGAGTGAGAGAGAGAGAGAAGCAATTTCAGACTTTTACTTTTCCTTGCATTAACTTATCTCCCTCTTGATAACTTGGGAAATAGTTTTGCGGGTGGGGAAGAGTGTGAGAGAGAGAGAGAATACAAACAGTAAATAATGTGAAGATGTGCAAATGTAGCACAGCCTATTCCTGCAACATGTTCCTAAAGGGAATTAAACTCAATCAGGTCATACATTGCCTGCAGTTCCAATCTGAATTAGACGCAGAATGGAATATGTGCTAAGTTCTAAGAGATCCTACCTGTTGGGGGCATCATTCTTTGGAATTCTGGGAACATCCAAGGGATCATCTGTAAATTCATACTCCTGTATTTTTGGCTGTAGGTTTTTTGATTTGGGGCGTCCAGGACCAGGTCCAGTTCCATGACTGCCTTTTCCATCGATTTTCTGTTTCTTGGGTTTTCCATGTTTCTGTGGTGTTCCATGCTCATGTTCCTTCCCAAATTTTAACAACCTCTTATCTCCTTTCTTATCCTGCCAGTCTGTGAGGATCTAAAGTCAACAGTTTAAATGCTCTTGAAAGAGAGAAAAACATGTAACAGATGTCTTTCAGATTAGTGATATGGATTCAAATGAATTACCAATTTATCTACCTCAGTCAGAGAACACAAGCTTGTGGAAATTAGAACCGTAACAGTAGTGCATTTGAGAGCCCTTTTCTGAAACTGGCTACAGGTCAATGATAATGCCAAATACAAAATGTGAATTAGGGGCAGACATAGATCACTCAGCCCCTTAAACCTTCAGTAAGATCATGGTTAATGTATTTCCATTTCAAATTCCACATTCCCATCTAACCCCAAATAATTTTTGGTTACCTTGGCTCACAAGAATCTGTTTACCTCCAGCTTAAAAACAATTAATGATTCCACCTCCACCGCTTTGAGGCAGAGAGTCCCAAAGTACCCAACTCTCAGAAAATAAATCCCTCATCTCTATCCTAAAAGGGTGATCCCTAATTTTAGAACAGTGTCCCCTAGTTCTGGATTCACCCATGATAGGAAATATTCTTGTCAAGACCATTCAGGATCTTATAAACTTCAATCAAATTGGCCCTCACTCTTCCAAAATCCAGTGTAAATAAATCCAACCTGTTTGATTTTTCCTTATAAGGCAATGAATTTATTCCAGGTTTCGATCTCCTCTGAACCACCTTCAGTGCAATCACATCCTTCCTTTAATAAGGAGACCTATTATGCACAGTATTCAAGGTGCAGGCTCACCAATGCCCTGTAGAACTGAAGCACAATATCCTTACTTTTATATTAAATTCCTCTCATGTTGAAGGATGGCATTCCTTTAGCCTTCTTAATTACTCGCTGTACCTGCATACTAATTTTCTGTGACTCATGTGCTGGAACAACTAGAACACCCACCTAGGGGAGGCAGTGGCATTGTGGTGATATCACTGGGCTAGTAACCCAAAATCCCAGGCTAATGAACATAAGCTCAATTCGCAACATAGCAGATGTTGGAATTTTAATTCAATACAAAGCTAACCTAATTGCAACCACTGTTGTTTGCTGTAAAACTCATCCTGATTCACAAAAGTCTTTCAGGGGAAGAAATCTGCCATCCTTACCCAGTCTGGCCTACATCTGACTCCATACGCACTAATGTGGTTGTTTCTTATTGACAGATGAGGCAGTGAGGCCCACATCCTATGGATAAATAAAAAGAAAAGATCCTCTGCACCTTGGAATTCTGCAGTTATTTTCCCTTTAAATAATACTTATGTTTTATTGTTCTTGTCAAATTATCATATTTTTCCACATTATACTCCACCTGTTAGATTTTTGCCTATTCACTTAACTTATATTCTTCATTCTTTAACTTCATTCTTGTTATGTGACCTTCACATCATACTTTGCTACCTTTGTGACATCTGCAAATTTAGCCTTTATTACAATTCATTAGATGAGGGCATCAAAGTGTAAAAGTTTGAGGGCCCAGCACTGAACTTTGTGGGACCCATTCATCAGATCCTGCTAATCAAAATAAAATTATCTGTTTTCTGCTAGGCAGCCAATCTTCATTCCATACCAGTATGTAACGTTCTCCATCATAACACCTACTTTTACATGTTAAACTGTTAATGTGGCACCTTGTCAAATTCCTTCCAGAAATCCAAGCACAGTACATTAACAGGCTCCCCTTTATCCACAGCACATGTCATTCCTCCAAAGAATTCCAATACATTAGTTATGCATGATTTCCCATTCACTAAAATGTGCTAACCCTTCCCGGTAAACTTGAGTTTTTCCAAGTGCCCAGTTATAAGGTCCTTACCAATTAATTCTAACACGTTACCCCAACAGACATCAGGCTAACTGGTCCATAGTTTCCTGTTTTCTCTCTCCCTCTCTTCTTGAAATTGTGTTATTTTTGTTACTTTCCAGTTTGATGGAAGCTTTCTAGAATCTAATTATATTTATAAAATTAGCACCAACAAATTTACTACCACTTTTAATATCTTAGGATGAACTCTATCAGGACCCAGGGGCTCATTAACCTGCAGCTCCATCTATTTGTTCAGTACTGCTTTCTTAGCATTATAATTTCACCAACCTACTGCCTTATTTCAACCTCCTGATTTACTGGGAAGACAGAAATAAAATAATTACTCATTATATCTAACATTTCTTTTTTTATCCACCATTAACTCCAAATTCTCACCCTCTTGAAAACCAACACTCACTTTACTTTTTTTCCCCTTTTTTAAATACCTATAGAAACTCCTGTTGTCTGTTTTTACGTTTCTAGCTAGTTTCTTCTCATGTTCTAATTTACTTGTCCCGATTAACCTTTTAGTCATTCTCTGACTGTTCAATATTTGGAGCAGTAATCTGACCTGCTACTCATCTTCGTGCAATTATATACTTTTTTCTTAGATTTGAGGGTTTCCCTTAGCTTTTAAGTTAACCATATATGTTGGGTGTTCCCATTGGAACTTTTCTTTATAGTAGAAATGTAAATATTGAGTATTCTTAACTACTCTTAAATGTCCGCCATTGCTTCTTGACTGATTTATTGCTAAGCCTGAATCCCAACTAACTCAGGTGTTCATGCCTTAATGACTCCAGGCCTTAATAACTTAGAGGAAAGAAGTGAATGTACTGTAGCCCGAGTTTCAGACAACACAAAAGTAGGTGGAAAGGTAAGTTGCGAGAAGGATACAAATACTTTACAGAGGGATGTTGATAGGTTAAGTAAGTGAGCAACAAGTTGGCAAATGGAGTATAATGTGGGAAAATGTGAAGTTGTTCATTTTGTAAGAGAGAACAAAAGAACAGAGTATTATTTAAATAAGACCATAAGAGGAAAACTTTCGAAAGCTGCAACACAAAGGGATTTGGGGGTACTTGTGCACAAAACACAAAATGCCAGCACACAGATGCAGCAGGTAATCAGGAAGACTAATGGAATCGGTAACCCTTCCTCAGAACTGAGGAGTTCTGAGGAAGGGTCACCGGACCTGAAATGTTAACACTGTTATTTCCTTCACAGATGCTGCCAGACCTGCTGAGCTTTTCCAGCAACTTTGTTTTTGTTCCTGATTTACAGCATCCGCAGTTCTTTCGGTTTTTATTTAAGACTAATGGAATGTTGGCCCTTATTTTAAGGGGTTAGAGTACAAGAATAGGAAGTCTTACTGAAAATGTTTAAGGTACTGGTGAGATCACATCTGGAGTACTGTGAACTGATTTGGTCCTCTTATTTAAGGAAGTATATAATTTCATTGGAAACAGTTTGAGAGAGGGTTCACCAGGATGACCCCTAGTATTGAGGGATTGTCTTATGAGCAAAGATTAAACAGGTTGGGACTCTGCTCACTGGAGTTTAGAAGAATGAGGGGGATTTCATTGAGACATGTAGGATTCTTAAGGGGCTTGACAGGGTCAATATTGAGAGGATGTTTGCCCTCATGGGAGAGTCTATGACCAGAGTACAGAATCTCAGAATAAAGAAGCGCCAATTTAAGATTGAGATAAGGAGGAATTTCTTACCTCAGAGGGTTAAAAGTCTATGGAACGCTTTCTCACAGACAGCTGTGGGGGCAGAGTCCTTGTATATATTTAAGGCTGAGACGGATAGATTGTAGATCAGTGGGGAGTCAAGGATTACAGGGAGAGGACAGAAAAATGGATGTGAGGATTGTCAGATCAGCCACGATCCTACTGAATGGTGCAGCAGGCTCAAGGAGCTGAACAGCCTACTTCTGTTCCTATTCTTTATGGTGTTACGCCCTCATACTTGCCCTTACTTAGGTTTAAATGACTAGCCTTAGACCCATTCTTCTCCCTCTCAAACTTGATGTAAAAATTCAATCATATTCGATCACTGCTACCCAAAGGTGCCATTTCTCACATTGGACATAGGCATAGCCTGCTCCCCAGTTGGTTCCACAACATGCTGCTCTCAAAAGTATTCTATGAACTCCTCATTGAAGGTACTACTGTCAATATTTTTCCAGTTTATACGTAATTAAAATTACTCAATTATTGTCCATTTTTCACAAACTCCCAATATTTCCTCTTATACATTTTGTTCTATATCATTTTTTTTTGGGGGGGGGGGGGGGCATCATTCCCATTGGTGATTTATTTCCTTTACAATTCCTCCATCAGAAGAATTCTGGTCAGTTAGCATTCTGTTCAATGCAACCAACAGCTCAGTGCACCATTCCTACCTGTGTTTCTGCCTCTAGAATACGCAATCGCCGACTCGCTGAGCTCAAGAGAGTTTCCAGCTCCAGTTGTAATGTATCTAGTTCTTCGATTCCGATTCCATCATCCTCAGAGCGTGACAGCACAGCTGCATAGCGGGGACACATCTTCACGTGATCTACTGGTTTAAAGTCATGGAACTGCAGCGGGCAGTCTTTTAGTTCACTCATCTTGAGCACGTGGAAAGTTTGTCTAAGATCTGTAAAGAAAAAAAAAATTCAAATTGAACATTGGTAGTTCTGATTAATAAGTGATATAGCAAATGGAAGGTTTACTATACGCATGCAAGAAATGAAGGTTGTGAAGGGCTTCTCTAGTCTACCAACAGACTCATGGGTTCCAAACAGATTTTAAAAGCAAGTACTGCAATTGAAACAAGCTCTTCAAAGCCATCCCAGAAAAATCAGACGGTCAACAAGTATCCCTTGGCTCAAGGCCACGATTTTTCTAAGTGATAACATCATTGATGTGAAGTGCCATTAAAAATGTATTCAAAATGCCACCAATTTTTTTTTGTTTATTCCAATGAAACAATTTATTTGCTGAGCATTTTGTCATTTATTCCAGCTGAGTTTTCTAGTCAATGAGTCACTTGAAATTATAAATGCTAAACCAGTTTTACCAACTTCCTTTATTGACCTAACATCTGCCTCATTTTGCCTCAGTTTCCCAGGGTCTGCAGATTCAGCTTAGAGACCAACTATTCCATTACTTTATCTTTATGTACCTTTAGTAAAATGTCTTTTATACAGAGCCACAGAATTGTTACCATGTAGGAGGAAGCCATTTGGCCCCACACGTCTGTGCCAGGTCTCCAAACTGAGCAAATAAAAACCGGAAGAACTGCGGGTGCTGTAAATCGGAAACAAAAACAGAATTTGCTAGAAAAGCTCAGCAGGTCTGGCAGCATCTGTGAAGTGAATTCAGAGTTAATGTTTCGGGTCCAGTTCTGAGGAAGGGTCATCGGACCTGAAACATTAATGCTGATTTCTCTTCACAGAAGCTGCCAGACCTCCTAAGCTTTTCCAGCAAATTCTCCAAACTGAGCACCTCACCTAGTGCCATTCTGCTGCTTTTTCTCTGTAACCCTGCACATTCATCCTTTTCAAATAACCATCAAATTCTGTTTTTACTACCTTAATTGAATCTTCTCCAAAATCCTCTCAGGAAGTGCATTCTAGACCCTAACCACTCACTGTGTGAAAAAGGTCTTCCTCCTATCACATTTGCTTTTTTAAAAACTAATGATTTTATACCTGTGCCCTCTCATTCTCAATCCTTTCACAGGTGGAAACATTTCTCCCTATTTACTCTGTCCAGACCTCAAATGATTTTGAATATTTCAGTCAGATCTTCTCTCAGTCTTCTCTTCTCAAAAAACTCTTCAATCTAATTTTCTAACTGAAATTCCTTATTCTTAGAAACATTCTCTTCTGCATTCTCTACAACAAGAAAATTATTTCCATTTTTGTTGTTTGATCTTTTTTGTGCTCATCAGGGTAAAGATTGTAATCTGAAGCACTTTTTATTTACAGAGCAGCACAATCAATAACAGAACCAAGATCCCTTTACTCTAACACTGTGTTCTACTCTGAATTCACACGCACAGCTTGTGAACTCTGAACAACAAGTGCAATTTTGTATTTTTGCCACATAAAATTGGGATTGGCCAATTCATTTCACGTTATATCCTTACAGTTAGCTTTTAAACAATTGGTCTTGGCTTGGATTTCAAACAGGTGGAAGGACATTGACTCCATCACCTAGAAGTACCTATTAATCAAAAATTAGCAGAACAAATTAAACATCTGAAACTCTCATCAAACCAAAAGCAGATTGACTGAAAAAGGTGCTAATAGTTCACAATAAAGCAGACTTTTCAGGCGATAGGATCAAATTGTGCATTAGATGTAAAGCAAACAATTTGGAAACAAGACAACACTATTTAACAAAGAGCAATGATGAGGTTGCTGGAAGATAATTGTATCATGGAATAAAATGACATTCAGTATTCATTTTCTGTCATCTCAGGTTTGTCAGCTGTTACTGACAGCAGTAAGAAATTATTTTCCCTGTCCCACTCTCTGCCTGCCTAACTTACAGATAAGGCACTATTAGACACAGGAAGGCCAGGGCATTAGTGGTGATGCAAGATCAGTTTGTGACAAGACCCCAGTTTGCAATTCCAGCTGCTAATACACCTTTTTCTAATCCTGTAGTCAGCAATGGACCTGCTCCCCTTGCTTAAACCACCAGATTCCAAAATTGTGAAATAAAAGCTCCTCTTCTGTCCAGGTGCCCAGTGACCAAGACACAAAATACCTGTGATTTCAAGCTGCAGTGCAATGAGGAACAGTATCTGTGGGTAGTTAAGGTAACAGACATTTGTTGCTAGGTGCCGGCTCCCTCACATTTTCACCAGGACTTTGTTACATTTTACCTGGGAAGGCTCCATCTGCGGCTTTACCACTACTAGGGAGAAAGAGGGGGTGTACAACATACAGTTGGTCATCCTTCTCGCAGGCACCCGAGCAACAACCGTGTCAATCTTGCCTCTTCGCTAATTTACTAAATAATCAAGCGACGGGACAAGTAAAAAATACACATTCTCCGAAGTTGTGCAACCTTTAGCCGTCACTCACCCCTTCTACTCACCCTACACTCCTGTCATAGTGGTTCAGCCCACGTCCTTTTCCGGTGCTTTTGGACCAGACCAATGCCATAGACAGAGGAGGGGGAAATATATAAAACAACGTTCGTTATGAGCTTCTGGTGCGGATAGGCCGGCTGTTTTGATCAACAACGTTTGACATGCATATTATTTTATTCATTTTACAGCTCCACATAAATACCATGAAAATAAAATTCATACTTATTACAACGTAAATCTTAAAAGTTAACCGATTCCAGGGTGAGAAAAGTAAATACTACTCGGGGGGGGGGGAGTGAAAGTAACATCGATGTTCATGTTGGCAGCACCTAAAGAGTAAGAAACAGGGAACAAAGCTTTAATTGATTGCTAAAATTTGTTCAACTTCTGCACATGGTATGTGGATGGAACTACGACAAATAAACTACGGTAGAGAACTAGAGCGAGCTCTTACTCCCCCTCCTCGAAGTATGGTACATCCTGCAACGGGCAGGGGCGGGGTGTGAAGAGGCACGGCCGCACATGCGCCCGGGACGTTTCCGCCTTCCGGGGAGACGATGGTAATAGGAGGGGGTCAGCGCTGAGAGGGTCCCTGAATGGGATGGAGGGGAAAGAAGGCGATGGGCTCGCTCCGGCTAGGAGTACAGACAGGGGGTGGTGGGGAAGGAAGATAATTGGGAGCTCCGGAGTCAGCTGGAGTAACGGCTCCAAGCGGCAGCAAGGCCCCACCCGTCCCCCGAGGGCAGGGGAGAGCTCCACACCCAGCGCTTCCTGTCTCTGGGCCAGGGCTGAACCGATTGGTATCCGGGCTGGGCCGGCTCGTGTACTGCTCCCTCCGTATCAAATGGTCGAACCGTGTTACTCTTCCTCTGCGTCCAATCCGGAATGCCTTCCATTGAGTCAGGAATTTGTGATCCTGTCGCGTCCCTGCAACCTCCTCAGTGGAGATGGGGAAAGGAGGGCATTGATTGTGTGCCTGTTTCTAGTCTTTGATATCTGGCAAGTTGTTAATTCCTGACTGCAATCAGTATTTCTTGGCTGGGTACTTGTCACTAGGCAGCCTTGTTCCATGTTCTGACTTACGGCTGTCACTGGGACTGCGTGCCTCGTCAAGGTTGTTTGCGGTTTAGTGTTGACGCTGTTCCTTTAACAGGACCGTATATAGGTGCAAAGTCTGTATTTAACATTTAATCCGCAAGATGTTGTGAGTGCTGACAATAGCAGTTATATATGGCTCAGACCTTCCGTTACTTTTCAGTTATTCATATAACACGATGTTGCTCTTGGCAAAAATATCCTATTAAAGGTGAAAATGATGAGTTAACTTTCTATTTCAAGTTTTAGGTGTGAAGTTACTTCTGGTGAGTGATTAGTCAGGTTTCCGATGTGAAGTGCACACTTCACTTGTATGGTAGCAGATTAGGTCACTAGCTTAATATTCTAGAAGCCACGGCAAGGCAAAAAAGTTTGTTTAAATTTCATTATAACAATTAGTTAGACATTGAATTTGGTCTTTGTAAGAAAATGGAAATAATTCTTGTACCGATTAAAAATTACTTTGTTAATGGCCTTTTGGGGAAGAAAATTTCTATAGACGAGTAAGCATGACATCAGTGGTGGGTTAGTTGTTGGAGGGAATCCCCGAAGGATAGAATTTACTTGTTTTTGGAAAGGCAAGGACTGATTAGGAGTAGTCAACATAGCTTTGAGTATGGGAAATCGTGTCTCACTAACTTAATTGAGTTTTTAAAAGAAGTAACGGGAAGAGGTAGACTGGTTAGTAAAGTTAGGTCACATGGAATACTGGGAGAGCTAGCTATTTGGATACCGAATTAGCTCGATGGTAGAAAGCAGATGGTGGTGGTGCAGGATTGTTTTTAAGACTGGAGGCCTGTGACGAGCAGTGTGCCACAAGGTTCTGTGTTGGGTCCACTGCATTTCATTCACTATATAAATGATTTGGATGTGAACAGATGAGGTTTGTTAGTTTGCAGATGGCACCAAAATTGGAGGTGTAGTGGACAGCAAAGATCACCCCTGAGTGCAATGGGATCTTGATCAGATGGAGTTTAATCTAGATAAATGTGAGGTGCTGCATTTTGGAAAGGCAAATCAGGGCATGACTTATATACTTAATGGCAAGGTTCTGGTGGGGGGAGGTGATGTTGCTGAACAAAGACCTTGGAGTCATGTTGGTAGTTCCTTGAAAGTGGTATCATAGACAGGATAGTGAAGAAGGCGTTTAGTAATGTTTGCCTTTATTGATCAATCCATTAAGTATAGCAGTTGGGATGTCGTGTGGTGGCTATACAGGATATTGGTTAGGCCACTTTTGGAATACTGTGTGCAGTTCTGGTCTCCCTGCTGTAAGAAGGATGTTATGAAATTTGAAAAGGTTCAGAAAAGATTTACAAAGATGTTGCTAGGTTTGGAGAATTTGAGCTATAGGGAGAAGCTGAATGGGCTGGGGCTATTTTCCCTGGAGCATTGGAGGTTGAAGAGTGACCTTAGAAGTTTATAAAATCATGGGCATGGATAGGGTAAATAGACAAGGTCGTTTCTCCTGGGTGGAGGAGTCCAAATCTAGAGGGCATAGATTTAAGGTGAGAGGGGAAAGATTTAAAAGGGACCTAAAGGGCAAGTTTTTCACCCAGAGGATGGTGCGTGTATGGAATGAGCAGCCAGAGGAAATGGAGGCTGGTACAATTACAGCATTTAAAAGGCATCTGAATGGATATATGAATAGGAAGGGTTTAGAGGGATATGGGCTAAATGCTGGCAAATGGGCCTAGATTTATTTAGGATATCTGATTGGCATGGACGAGTTGGACTGAAGGGTCTTTCTGTGCTGTGCGTCTCTATGACTCTATAAAGGAGTTAAAATCATATATAGTCAACAGATGGTATTAAGATTCAAATTACTTTAGGTTTTCTCCCATGTTGTTCAGCATATACAACAATACATGCATTGACTGCCTTGCTGGTTAGTGTTTTGAGTCTAAAATGGAGTGGGTGTGGTATGGTTTGTGATTGTGACCTGAGCCTAGTTTACAAATGGGCTGTTGCTGTAGATTAACTAGAGCTAATCAATCCGCTATTATTCATTCTCTGTGCTTTAAACATGATTAACCGGCTGTCTGGTATTGTTGTCTTATTTGGTTTACTTAATTTTATTTTTGTTCGCAACAAGTAGACACTGCCTGTTAATTAAAGGGAGATCACGAAATAATCTGGTCCACTGTTCCATCCGTGACACTACATTTGTCTGAACAAAAATGTTTTGTAATGAGATTTGAATTTACAGATTTAAATGGGATATTTCCAACATTGATGTCCCCTAGTGGTGTAATTGCCTAGAGGGTCTTCTAAGCTTTATTACTTTAACTTTGTTTATCTCTCATTAGGCAACGCTCCGTCCATACCTGAATGCAGTCCGTGCCACACTTCAAGCTGCACTCTGCCTGGAAAACTTCTCATCACAAGTTGTGGAACGCCATAATAAACCTGAAGTGGAAGTGAGGTAGGGCACACTTGCTGGGTAAATATTTTGGTTAGTTTTCAGTTTTCTCTATTAAGCACCATTTGTGGGGAGATGCAAAAAACCTTCAGTACAATTTTCTGTTTCTAGGGATAAATTTGTGTATGTTTGGTTTTGGGTTTTCTGTGGTAAATACAACTCAAAGCATATAATCTGTGTGTAACTTAACTTTGAGATGATTGCCAACAATGCACTTATGCAAGAAACAAACTTAGTGCTGTGGCACTAAATAACTGAAAAGCCCTAGAATTCATTCTAAGTATGGGATAGTAATGGATGTTTTCTTGCCCCATGACAGGAGCAGTAAAGAGCTGCTGTTGCAGCCCTTAATCATCAGCAGGAATGAGAAGGAGAAGGTCCTCATTGAGGGCTCAATAAATTCTGTACGAGTCAGCATTGCAATCAAACAGGTCAGTATCCCATTTGGCTTTTAGGCTGTACTTGTCATTAGTAAGATTTGGACTAACTGTATTGGGGATGGGAAAAAGGCAGGAATCTGGTAGTAAGTAATGGTGCTCAGTTAATGATCTAGTACAGGTACAGTGGGCTGAATGGCCCCCTTCTGCACCATAACACCTGTTCTGTGGAATAACATTTTCCATTCATCTCTTGGAACAGAACTTTGGGCCAGCCAGTTAGATTGACACAGATGGGATCCTGGCAAGTAGTTCGAAGAGGGGGAGGGAGTTGAGAAGTTGAATGGAAATATGAAGTAAAATGAAAGAGCCTGGAAAGCAGAGGAAACATAGGCTTATTAAGAAAGAAATTAGCCTAGCAAGGCCAAATGGAATATATTTCGAATGTTAGGATCCCAAAAAGTACAGAAGATCTGAGGGATTTTGGTGTACATATCCACAGATTCCTGAAGATAGCAAGGCTGGTGGATAAAGCAGCCAAGGAGGCATTTGGGCGACTTGCTTTTTACTAGTCGAGGAATAAAATGCAAAAGCACGGAAGTTGACGGAACTGTGTAAAATACTGGCTCAGCCACAACTGGAGTGTGTGCAATTCTGGTCACAACATTACAGTAAAGATGTGATTGCACTAAAGACGACACGAGTTTTACCAGGATGCTGCCTGGGCTTGGTTTGAACAATGAAGAAAGATTAGATAGGCTGGAATTGTTTTCCTTGGAGCGGCAAAAGTTGAGATGGTACCCAAGAAACGTATAAGATTGGGGTGGATAGGAAGGCACTTTATTCATAGAGGAATTAATAACCACCAGAATATGGATTTTAAGGCAAGAGTTAGAATGCCAAAAGGAGAGTTGAGGTGAGCGTTTTTCACTCAGCTGTGTTCCAGGACTCAAGCTCTTTGCCTGAAAGGTGGTGGCAGTCAGAACCTTTCAACATTTTTCAGTATCTAGATACACACTTGCATTGCCATAGCCTCCAGGATTGTTAGCCAAAAGCTGCAAAATGGGTTTAGTGTAGTCAGATCTGTGTACATGATGGGCTAAATGGCCTCCTGTGCAGTTAACATCTGAGTTGAGGTGCTGAGTGAAGATCGTCTCCATTGAGGAGAGCCAAGGTGTTGATTCTCCAGCTTTTTACAAATGCTTCCATTTTGTGGAGCAAAATATACATCTTTATAAAAATGTGGAATATTATTCCTATTTTCTTTGTTTTAACTCAACAGATTTTAACTGGATTTTTGTCCTTTCTTTAGCTTCCCACGAAGTTTCCAGTGGGTATGTTGGCAGTTCCATGTGTGCTACCGTGTGTTTTTAAAAAACTGCCCTCGAAAGCATCACTATTTTAAAGGTGCACCTCCAGTCTTTGGCGATAGAAAGGTTAGAATTTATACCTGTTCAAGTTTTTTGTGTTTTCATTTTCAGGCGGATGAGATTGAAAAGATCCTTTGTCATAAGTTCATGAGATTTATGATGATGAGAGCAGAGAATTTCTTCATCCTCCGGAGGAAAGCAGTTGAGGTAATGCCAATATATAGAATGTGCACTTAACAGTTTGACTTACTTTTGTGGTACCTATCTTTGAGACGGTGATAAGGACCTGAGGGCACTTGGAGTCCATTGTTTGTCTTGTTCCCATCTGTTCTGTTGCATCGTGTAGACAATGCCCAGTGCAACTACAATGCATCATTTGTGGAGGCAGCAAATACTTCAGACGGTAAAAGGGCTGCTTTGTCCCGGACAGTGTTGAGTTTGTGTAGTTGAGGCTGAACAAACCAGACAGTGGAAGGTATTCTGTCACATTCCTGATTTGTGCCATGTGGATGGTGAAAAGGCTTTGTAGAGTCAGAATATGAGTAACTCACCTCAGAACGTAGCAGGAGCGCTGAACTTTTGAGTTACTTGTGGGACTGCCTGGCTCTGTCTATAGCATGCTGCTTTCAATTTAACATTCATCAGTTCTGTGTAGGTTCAACATTATTTTTAGGTATATGTGATGCTCCTGGCAAGCTCCCTTTCACTCATCTTTGAACTGTCATTGGTCTTTTTTTCTTAATATTGGTTGAGTGAAGGGTCTGCAAGGTCATGAGGTGACAGAATTTCACTATAAAATCAGCTAATGGCACCTCCATGGATACCTTTGAAATTCAAGCTCTGGTTGACATAGCATGATTGATGCTCGCAGTTATGATTCTATGCTGGGAAGAGGAGGAACATGCCATGGAAATTAACTGTGCTGTGACCAGTATTCTGGCAAGTTGTATAACTAGAGCAGCAGAGAGCTATAAACTAAATAGTGGGGAATAAGGAATCAAGTGCTGGAAGATGTGATAAAGAAAAGACGAGGAGCAAGATCGCAATAAGGGACTTTATACATACAGTAGTATAGTCGGTGCCTTACAAACAAAGTGCACCAGCAGATAAAACTAAACATTATAGATAAATGAGAATTAAACACTCCACCTGAATACATGCAACATTCATAGTAAGGTAGATGAATTAATGGAACAAAAAACATATGATTCCTCCTTTCTACTTTAGACATGGTACTGTGCAATGAGAAAAAGTTAATCTTGCAAAGGAGCCTCCAGGGAAGAGTGACCATCAGCTGACCAAAATTTTACATTAAGTTTGAAAGTAGTGCAGTTCAGTCTGAAACTAGGGTCTCGATAAGGGAAGCTGAGAGACAATAGATTGTTTTCATGTCTTTTAATATAGTTTCCCCGATGATGGGCATCGACTAGCATTTAAGAATTAAGAGTTGACTACAAATATACATTCCTTTGGAGGCACAAAAAGCTGAGTAGCAAAAGTAATCCAACCATGGCTGACAAGTTAAAGATTTTATTAAATCAAAGGAAGGGGCTTATAAAGTTTCCAAAAAGTAAGTTGTAGGCCTGGAGGGTTGGAAGCATTTTAGATATTAACAAAGGAGGACCAAGGAACTAAAGCAGAAAATAGAATAACTAAGTAAACTAGTGAGAAATGCAAAAATGGGCAAAAATATCTTTAAGTATGTAAAAGAAGAAGTTGACAAAGACATCTTGAGATCACTACAGTCAGACAAAGTCTGTAATGGAGAACAGAGAAACTAAACAAATATTTTGTCTTCATGGGGGAAGGTGCAAAAAACTTCATGGAAATACTAGAGAAGCAAGACACAAAGAAGAATGGGGAACTGAAAGAAATTAATATAGGTTTATTTAAAAAAAAAAGTACTGGAGAAAGTGGGACTGAAATTTGATAAATCCCCTTGACCTGATGTTCTGCACCCCAGTGTGTTGAATGAAGTTGCAGTGGAGGTGGTAGATACGTTGGTCATCTTGCAAAATTCTGCAGATTGGAAGATATTGAATATAACCGCACAACTTAAGAAGTGGAGAGGAGAAGAGAAAGCTAGGATCTATGGACCTGTTAGCCTGATAGCAGTAGTACGGCTAACATCTGTTACAAGGAAGAGATAACTGAGCACTTTAGTATTTTTAAAAAATGATCGGACCAGACAAAAATCAACATGGATATCTGAAAAGAAAATTGTTTGACAGGTGTATTTGAGTTTGTGAGGATGTAACTAAAGAATGGGTAAAGTGGAACTGGCACAGGTGATATACTTTGATTTTCAAGGCTTTTAATAAAGTACCACACACTTAAGCAAAATTACCCGTAGGATTTAATAAATGAGTCACTTTTAGTTTGGCAGACTGTGACTTGCAGCTTACTGCGACATTGAATGCTTGGGCTCTAGTTCTTTACAATCTATATCAATGATTTGGATGTGGAGAACAAATGTAATATTTCCTGGTTCACTTGGTATAAAACAGGATGAGAATGTCAATTGAGGAGGATGCAAAGAGACTTCAAAAGAGTTTAGATAGGTTAAGTGAGTGGGCAAGACATAGCAAATGAATATAAATTGGATAAGTGTTGAGGTTATCCACTGTGAAAGGAAAAGGAGAAATGCAGAACATTTCAGAAATGGTGAAAGATTGGGAAATATTATATCCGAAGAGACCTTGGTTCATGAGTCACAGAGCTGATATACAAGTGCAGTAAGCAATTAGGGTAGCAATTAGAACTTTGGCCTTTAATATAAATAGATTTGAGTATAGAAGTAGAGATATCTTGATATAATTAGGTAGTACCTTGGTGAGACTGCACCTGGTGCATTGTATACAGTTTTGGTCTCCTTTCTTAAAGGGTATGTTTTCTATTGTGACAAACTTTCACCAATTTAGATTCTAGGATGGTGGGATTAATTGGTCATGATAGTTTGAGGAGTCTGGGCCTGCATTGTCTAGCATTTGGATGGATGAAAGGTGATCTCAAAGCTCTAGCTTTGCTTGATGGGGTAACTACAGGAAGCATGTGTCTCCTGGCTGAAGGGGTTCTTGAACCCACAATCTCCGAATAAAAGCCAGGCTATTTAGGACTGAGCTGGGAAGTAAATTATTCCCTTGGTGAATCTTGGGAGTTCTCTAACCCATTGTGGTGTGGAAGCTCAGTCCTTGACTATGTTCAAGGCAGTAGTAGAAAGATTTCCAAATATTAAATCCAACAAGGGATATGGGCATACTGCAGGGAAAATGGTTTACAGGTAGAAGATAAGCCAGGATTTCAGTGAATAATAGAGCAGACTCAAATGGCCAAACTGCATACTACTATTTCCTATAATCCAATACTCCAGATGAAGGTAGCTGTGTTTTTTTTTTGGTCTCCGTAAGAACTCTGCAATGGTCACTTATGGCCAGATTCATCTAAAATAGTCAGGGTCACCTCCCTCAGACCCAGTTATGTCCTTGAGGAAATAAGTTCAGTCAATTGTGGTGTCATGAAGCTATTCTTAGTGATGGATATTGAAGTCCCCTACCCACAATGTATTCTGTGCTTTTGCTACTCATGTTTCTTTCAAGTAACATTCAATATAGTGCCCATGATCTAGTGCTCCTCTAACAGCGGAAGACATTTAAGGAGATATTCAATTCCTCCCAACTAAACTACATTCCAGACAGGAAGAAAGATTGTAAGAGAGAAAAAGCAGCCAGGGCTAAGCAAGGAAGTTAAAGATAGCATAAAGGCAAAAACTAAAGCATGGCATATTCGCAAAGATCAGCGGCAGGCGGGACGATTGGGAAACTTCTATACACCAACAAAGGGTTGCTAAAAGAAGGTAATAAAAAGCAAAGGTTAATTGTGAAAGAAGGCTAGCACAAAATATATCTAAAATATTAAATATAGCAAAAACTTCAAGTATATAAAAGGAAGAGAGTAGCTAAAACAAAAGTGGACCCTTGAAGGTAAGAATGGGGAGTTAAAAATTGGGGATGCAGAAATGGCAGAGACAGTAAATTGATACTTTGCCTTACTTTTCATGCTGGAGGATGCTGAAACAATCTCAACAGTAACAGGTAAAGCAGAGGTTTTAGAAAAGGGGAAATATAAAATAAACACAATCACCGGGGGCGCGGGGGTGGGGGGGTGAGGAGAGAGAGAGAAAAGTACTGAACAAACTATTGGGATTAAAGGCAGACAGGTCCCCAGTGCCTGATATCCTTAGACTGTAGGAAGTAGGCTACGGCACCATACACAGTAGATGCATTGGTTATATTCTGAAATTTCCTGGATTCTGGAAAGATTCCACTGGATTGGAAAAATGCTAATATAATGCACTTAATCAAAATGGGAAGGAAGCAGAAAGTAGAAAACTATTGACCAATTAGTTTAACATATCACGAGGAAATTATTAAAATCAGTTATTGAGGACGTAGTAATGAGACATTTGGAAACTCAAACCACAATCCAGCTAAGTCAATATGGTTTCATGAAGGGTGCATAGTGTTTAACTAACTTGCTATAGATGTAACAAATAAAGTGGATAATGGAGTTGCTACAGGGGTTGCATATCTCAATTTACAGAAGGTATTTGATAAGGTACCACACAAAAGGCTTATTGCACAAGGTAAGATCGCATGAGTTTGGGATAATATATTAGCTTGGATAGAAGATTGGCTAATCAATAGAAAGCAGAGTTTGGATAAATAGGAATTGAGATTTTCTATGAAATAGATCTTTTCCAGGCTAGCAAGCTATTAACTAGTGGGATGCCACAGGCTTTGATCCTCAGAACCCAACTATTTACAATCTAATTTAATGACTTTAATGATAGAATGTATAATTGTCAAATTTGCAAATGACATTAAAATAGGTGGGAAAGTAAGTTGCAACGAAGAAATAAGAACTTTATAAATGGATATAGATAGGTTAGGAGAATAGACCAAAATTTGGTAGATGGGGTTTTAATGTGGATAAGTGAGGTTAAACATTTTGATTGGAATAAAAAGGCAACTTATCTAAATTGAGGGCAACTTTAAAATGCAGAGGGATCTGGGTGTCATTGTGCATGAGTCCCAAAAGCTCATGCAATTATAGCAGCTAATAAGGAGGGCAAATGCAATTTGGCACTTATTGTTAAAGGAACAGTATAAAAGCGGGGAAGTGTTCTTGCAGTTGTACAAGGCATTGGTGAGATGGCATCCAGAGTACTGTATACAGTTTTACTTTCTTACTTGAGGACAGGTGTAATTATTGGAGGTAGCCCAGAGAAAGATTTCAGCAGTGAAAGGCTAGTCTTATGAGAGATTGAGTAGTTCAGATCAATACTTGAGTTTAGAAGATGAGGAGATCTAATTGGGCTATGTAGGATGCCAAAGGGACTTGATAAAGTAGATGTAGAGCAGATATTTCCCCTTGTGGAGCAATCTAGAATGAGAGTTAATAGTTTTGGGCTAAGGAGTGGCAGGATTCAAAACAGATGAAGAGGAAAGGACCATGAATCTATGGAATTCACTACGCTAGAGTGCAGTGGATGTTGGGACATTGAGTCAATTTAAGGAGGTGATGAACAGATTTTTTTAAATTAGTAATGGGCATAGGGGTTACGTGGATTTGGCAGGAAAGTAGAGTTGAGATTGAGATGAGATCAGTTATGATTGTATTAAATGGCAGAGCAGGCTCAAGGGGCTGAATTGCCTACTCCTGCTCCAAGTTCTTATGTTCTCAGTTGATGGAGGGTGGCAGGAAGTTTGCTTGCCTATTTTTCATGAGATGTCATGTGACTTTGAAGTCTAGTGTCAGTGTTGAGCTCAACGTGCTTCACTATCTTAATGGGATAGCAGAATGTGGTCTTTATGTACTCCACAATTGTAAGTGACAAATACTGGAGATTAATTTGGCTTTTTTAGCATGTAGAACTGAATGTTTCTTATTCTTATGGGTGCAGCAACTGAGTTGAGCTACAAGTTCTCATCTGTTGAATGTGGTTCTGAAGTGAAGTCTCATCTTGATGGGAGTGAGGTTCACCATAGGCTTTGGCAAAGAATAATGCCAGAAATATATCAAGGCAGGAAATTTCTGGAGCTCAGTTCAAATCCAATGTTTAGACTATGAAAATATCTGTTAACAGAAATCATCAGTTCTTTTACATGTTTTGAAACAATCCTGTCCCCTTTGAATTGCTGGAGATGGTTAAATATGTCATTATCTGAAATAAATATTTACTGCTGCCTCTGTTCTATCTTTTCTGACAGGGCTATGACATCAGTTTCCTGATCACCAACTTCCATACTGAACAGATGTACAAACACAAACTGGTTGACTTTGTCATTCACTTCATGGAGGAGATTGACAAGGAAGTCAGTGAAATGAAGCTGTCATTAAATGCCAGAGCTCGCATCGTTGCAGAAGAGTTCCTCAAAAATGTGAGTCCTTCCCCACCATCAAAACCAGCAAACTTACAGGATAGTGTTCATCTGCTTTCTATGCTTGTGTTACACAAGTTATAAAAGCTGGAAAACCACAACTTAATTGTTCCATGGTGTGCAGCTACTTGGTCTGTCAACATTGAATAAATTATCTTGATTTAGTAATTTCTGGGCAGGCCTTATTTTGCATTTGGTGGTTTTTGCTTCTCGGTAAATGAGTTCCTCAAATGTGTTTGACTTCTCATTTTAGATGCAACTTTAGGCATCGTTACATTTATACTGTGCAGTGACTTCATTAAAAGGGAAGTGTGCTGAATTAGCCCAACGTCTCCACCTTTTGTTTGTTCTCTGGATATGGATGTCACTGGCCATATTCACTACCTTTCACAAGTTGCGGGAAAGATGATAATGGATCTTTTGTGCCACTCAAGTTCTTGTTCTCTCAGAAGAATGTTGGGTGGGGAGCTCTGGTTAAATTCAATGAACGTTCAATTTTGTGTATTGTACCTAAGAACGAATATATTGGCCTTGAAGGTAGTGAAGAAGAGATTAACCAGAATAAAAGTGGGAATAAAAGGACTGAAAAGAGGACATTGTATGAACTAGGTTTGTACTCTTGGGCTGATATAATTGAGGTGCTTTAAGGTAACTAAAAGATTTGATAGATTAGAGTAAAAACTGCTTCTGTTGGTGGGGAAACCCAAGTGATGTAACATTACAATTAAAGCCAGGTAATTTGGGGGTGATGCTAGGAAGTACTTCACAGTGAAAATTTGAAAAAAACTTCAAGTTGTTGAGGTTACGACAGTTATTACACAAACAGAATTAGGAGCTGAAGTAGGCCACTTAACCCTTTGAGCCTGGTCTGCATTCAACAGACATTGAACATTACAAACCGGAGTTTTGTTTTGGCAAGGATGCTGAGATGAGGACCCAAATCAGCAAATACAGTTTAAGTATAGATTTGCCAAGATTTGATTTAAGAGGTTGAATTGCTTACTCCTATCCCCAAGTCAGAATAGTGTGAGATGAAAATAGTATTCTGATTTTACTAATGGCATTCTCTTTTCCCTTGTAATCAAGGTGAAAGTGTTGAATATTGACATGTCATAGGATTGTTAATTTAGCAATCTGTTTTGGGTGGCATCTTGCAGCTTGATTGAAGTTGCAGCTGAACCCATTCAAGCAAATAATGTACATTTTTATTATACCCCTGACTTTTATGACTTCATTGTGTAATATTAGTGATTCATAAGCTCCAAATTTGTGTAGCTCACAGAACTCTTTTTCGGTTTTTTGTGTTCTAATTTAAAATAACCAGCAAAGCTTTAGTCTTAAAGGTTGCTTTATTACCCAATGACTGACAATTATTCAGTTATAAAAGTGAGTCGTAGTTGCAAAAACAAAGATTTAAAGTAGGTATTAACAAAAGATGCTTTCAAAAATGAAAGATAATCAGTTTTTATCACAGACTTATAATATGCTTGTAAATTATTTTCCCCAAGGTGAAGAGTTTAAGAAGTTAGGTAGGGTTCAACACTTGCAATTGATTTTGTAATTGAACAGTTGGAAGTTTCTCCCACAGGTTCTGGGATGGAGTAAAGACTCCTTATTTCACTTATATGGCACTGCAGTTTGCAACCAATGGTAGCCTGGTTCAGTACAGCAATCTATCAGCTGGGATCTCTTTTGCTGACTCCCTGATGAGAACACTCTCTTTATCTTTCCCTCTGGTGTCTGAGTACTACTTGGAGTTCTATTTTTAAAATGGTGTCTCAAAGCCTCTTTTATACATATTAAACCTTAAGGTGGCTGTTATATTAATTTTTAATATATAACTTTTCCAAAGAGCAAAAAGTATTATGGTGGAATTTGCTGTGGATATCCTTCCAGCCTCCTATATTCCTCAAATCTTTGCATTGAGACCTTTAGAAGGGCTCACTTGTGTCATCCAGGGTTTAACCAAATCCTAAATGTCTCCCTTTTGTAGCTGATACTGAGAAAACACATCAGCTTCTCTGTCTTAACTGGCTATAGTGAATTAATGAGATGGCTATGAACCTCTAACAGCCATATTTTTAAATGGGATACCAGCAACCAAAAGCAATTGAGCTTATTTTACAAACTAAATGATCATGATACTTTGTAGATAGTAGAGAGAGCAAGAAGATGTCAGAAGATGAGTTGCCTGATGTAGAATATTGAGCCCAACTGATTTTGTAGCTGTGGTGTTGATGAGGCTGGACCAGTTAACCTTAATGGTATTGAGCACCTGTGTAAGGTTGGAATGAACTGTGACTAGTGATTACATTCATTTTAGAAAGCATGTATCATTCGTATGGACACAGTCCAGAGTTTGCAAATGGGGGCAAAGTGGAGAATGTGAACTTTGTACAGCTTAAAAATCTGATCTAATTCCATGGAATGTTATAAATAGCATCAGAAAAAAAAACACTGCTTCTGGAAATGTGACAAGCACAAAGTATATGTTGAATGCAAGACTTGCCATTAGCAGATCCCAGATAATTGAACATCTTGTGGCTTGTTATCTTTGCGTTGATCTGTGTATCTTTTACTTGGTCTGTCAATTTCAGTCGCCTTTAATTTTATTTGGTTCTGTTTAACATTGTTTCAGTCACATTGTTGTCATTTTGCTTTTAATTTGCATTTTTTTATTGTGGAACTGATTGCCAGAAAGTATAGTGGTTGGTGAGGGATCCAGTTAGGGTTGTGAGAACATTTCAGGCTGCAGGTCAAGGAATGCATGAGACCAGGACTTTGATAGCAACATGAAGCATATGGTGATGTAAACAGCTTTGACCACCTTGCTCTGCAGTCTGTTTATTTCGTACCCATTGTTTTCACTGGGTCACTTCCAAAAACCTACTCTTCCTTTACCCATCTCCGTTTTCAGTAACACTGCTATGTATCGCACCTTTGTAGTCTTGTGATATCCTTTCCAATACTGTGTATTCCTATTTCACATTTTACCATCAGTCCTCTCCTGAACCGTCTCCTGTCAGTCGTGTTCACCTTTTGCACCTTTTCTCCTTGCCGTTCCATCATCATCTATGTCCTTCTCTGTCCCTCCTGTCTCCTTTTTCTCATCTGCTCCCTCAATCCTTTCTCTGTCAGTCCTTCGACCTTGGTCTCCTTGCTCCTGACTATAATTCTGTTTTCCGTTTTCCTTTTTTCCTTTCTCCATATGCTGCAGGCTCCATTTCTAGTACTTGAGTTACTCACTCTATTTGTCGTGCCTTTCTCCTTCCCTGTTAGTTCCCATTTTTCTCCTTAATTTGTTGCATACTGTATTTTAAGTTTCTATGGAGATAAAATTGTTTCAAGAGAAAACCCACTCAAACTTGTAGAAGACCAGGAAATTGTGGAATCCTACTTGTAGCTAATTCCTGTTTGCAGCTATGCCTCTTGAGGGAAAACCAGGTAGTGTCCTTTGTAAGCACTAAAGATTAAGTTTAACAAAAATCTTGGTTTGCACATCAATTGCATGTGGTTTGTTGCCTTCTACCTGACCTGAAATAAAGTTTTCTCCTCTTCATGGCTCTGGAGAGTAGGAAGTATGTTATAAAGCAGATGTGACAAATGAAAGTGACAGTACGTGGTACTGAAAGTGTCCTCCACTAAGCACATTTCCTCTGTCATAAAAAGTATTCTGAATGTAATGACAGTTCTATTTTTGTTTTTGCAGTTCTGATACTGGTTGCATTTGCTGTCATCTAACAAGACCAAGGTTACGAGGAACTATGTGAAACTGCACTGCTGGAAGAAAGCTTGGGGCGGGGGTGGGTGAATCGTCTGCTGAAAGGGGACACATACAATAACCCAACCAGCCTGCTGGTAGGGGTTTGTACAATAACTCAACCAGACTGCTGGCTTTAGTATTATTGGATCATTTTTCAACTGATACTGTATTTACAACAGCAATCCCTGCTGTCATTAGGCCTTTCATAAATTGAAGGGGCTAAGTTAATGCATTTGTATTTTGAAAAATAAAACAAAATTTCATTCGTAGTTTGTGTCAAAGCCTCTCTGACTTTACTCCTTAATCTACATCTTTAAAATGATGGTACACTTATAAGTTTAAGACAGTAAATGGATGCAATAAACCCTGTCAATGACCATCCAGAATTCCTTTCAATACTAGAAAGAGTGAAATAAAAAGCAAAATATTGCAGATGCTGGAAATCTGAAATAGCAAGTGTTGGAAACAGTCAGCCTGTCAGGCAGTATCTGCAGGGAGGAAGATGGGGTTAATCGATCTGGATAACGACAGAACTAACTAGATCATTGACCTAAAACATTTACTTTGTCTTCTCCATGAAGGTTGCCTGACCAGCTAAGTGTTTCTCGAGTTTTTTGGACTCTACTGGTGCTTGCTGTCTGTCCCAAATTATATTCTAGTTTAAAACAATGGTGTCTAAATAATTCTTCATTTGTATGTTTCCACTGTAGTATCAATTAGGCAGGCAAGTCCACATTCTTAGTCTTTAGTTCTGTCCTTCTTCCATTAATTGTATACTAATGTTTTTAATTGAACTAAAATTATTGTAACTGTTTGGGATCACTATGGATATTGTTTATAATGTAATGTTGCTTGTGTGACTTTTTATCGCAGCAGTTGATTGACAGTCACTGACACAGGTTCCACTAATTGTGAAAAGGCATTTCAAAGTTATATTGATCCAGGACTGAACTCTGGCATTGAATGGTCACATTGCCATCTGTACTACTGCTCTTTACTTTGGTCAACAGGGTGCTTTTTAAAACAAAGGTACTAGGGCAGCACATTTTAAGTAAAACAGAGGCTATCATGTATACTTGGTAAGTTCCCAGTTTCAACTGAGTTGTTCAAAAAAATTGAATGGGAATGATTAAACTTACATATGTTAATCTTATTGCTGTTATTGCCACTAATATGTAATGCCTTATGCTTTTCAATATTAAAAACCTTTTGCAGTTCATCTGGCCAGTTGTCATCTCCTGTAGATTGTTTTGACTACTTATGTCTTTGCTTTAATAGATTTACCATGCAACTTTAAATCCTCAACCTTGCATGAGTTTTGATGATTTCATTAGTTTTGTTTGCCTCTGCAAAATGCTTTGGGATGTTTTTCTATAAGGAGCTTTATATATACAAATTGTGAACTGTGGTGGACCAAGCACTGATTCCTGGAGTACAGCTTTGCCCACTTTTATCTGTTTAGCGTTTAGCTTTGAATGGTATATTTTATTTCCTGTTAGTTGGTCAATTCTCTATTTTGTCTTCAACCCAAAAGTGTTAATTTTGGAATAAGGCTGTTTTGAGTCTTATGTCCTTGTACTAGGTCAAAGTACACTGTTGAGCTTTGTTTAATTTTAAAACAATTTCTTGAAATTCTTCATTCAGATTAGCTTTGAAGCATTTCATTTATTTCCTTTGATTTCCTGTAAACAGTATTTGTGCAGCAATTAATCATCTAATAAATATTTAAGTACTCTAGTTTTTCACTGATTGTTAGCTAATAATTTTAGGTTAATTACTACCTCACTAATAATGAACTAATGTAAACTAAAAGATAAGACAAGGCTGTACAAGAAGAAAAATAAATGTGCAAACTGTTGTAAGTACTGGAGCAGACTAGGCTGTAACAAGGTGGCATCTGTGCCAATCTGTTTGCAATTAATTATTAGTAAAATTGCAGTATTGAATCTAATCATTCCAGTGCACAAGTTTCATATCTAATATTGTGTGCAAACTTTACTTGTGTGACTAATTTATTTAAAATTAAACAGGTCTTTGCCACAGAAACTATAGATATTTTTTGAATAATCTATACAGACATGTTAAGACAACTCTTAGGGCAGATGGTATTTGAGCTCAAGCCTCTGGCCCACACTACCACTATGCCACAAGATTCTCTCCACAGCAGGTATATGGCTATTAAAGTGACCTCAATTTGAGTTAGGAAGGGTGAAGTTAGGGATTTGCACTACTTCACTGACCCCTGTTGGAAGTGTGCATGCACATCAAGGATCCAAATTAGGTTTCATTTGTCTCATTGGTAAAACAGCTGACTGACACTGATCCAGGATCATGTGTAAAACTGAACTGGACTAACCATATCAATACTTGTGACCAAGTTAAGCAAGTCCGAAACTTGGAGTTCTAGGGTAACTTCCCCACCTCTGTTCCTAATACCTGTTCACAATCTATCTGGCACAAGTCAGGAACATAATGGAATACTCTTCACTAGCCTTGATGGCTCTAACTCCAACAACATACGAGAAGTTTGACATCATTCAAGATCCAGGGCCCACTTGGTTAGCACTCCATCTGCCACCTTTAACATTTACTCCCTTCACTAATGGCATCTTCAACATGCTCTATAGTAATCAGCAACTCCTTCAACAGCACCTTCCAAACATGTGACCTCTACTATCTGAAGTACTGAGGAGCAGATGCACAAAAGCAGTAGCACCATCACCTGCAAGTTCTTCAAGTCACAATCATCCTGGTTTGAGACTACATTACTCTTCCTTCACTGTTGCTGGATCAAAATCCTTCCTAACAGCATTGTGGCTGTCCCTGCATGCCAAGGACTTCAGCAACTCAAAAATGCTGCTTACCACCATCTCTTCAAGGGCAATTATAAATGATTTGCCTAGACAATGATGCCCGTAAGCCTATGAAATAATTGAAAATAAGTCTGTACCACACACTACTGTGCACATAAGGGAAGTTTTCTACTTTGAAAGATCAGAATAAGTTGATGTTATATCATCAAAGAGAAAATGTAATTCAATATCTTGATAAAATTCCTCTGAAATAATACTGCCATTAACTGCCACATTTGTTGGCCTAATCCCATTACAATAAATATTTCTTCAAGTTGGCCAATGCCCCAGTACAACCCTTATCTCACTCCTTTAAGTGCAGTGGACTTACATCAATGTGGCTATGTAGTTTAGAATTTGACCACCAGATCTGACTGTACCATGCAAAACACTATTGGATCCTGCTGTCCTGCCAAATTGCTCAGTGGGCTGCGTCATTCTGAACTGTAAAGATAATTCCTGGCTTTTTTACTCTACCACAAAGTACCTCCTTAAATTCCCTCATTCCTGTCTGCTCCATCTTCATCTTCAACTTCAATAGTATTAGGATCTCATGTACTGCTTTGCCAATAAGATTGAAACCATGTGATCAACAGCTTCTTCCCTCCTTTCTGCCAGCTTATAGGACCAAAGTTTCTTTAAAGTTCCACCTTACTTAGCCACAAACAGGTATCTTCCTCTAGTTTCTCTCCAGTCCTCCCTCATGCTCTCAGGTTTGAGCTGATTTTGTCTGTGAGACCAATTCCCTGTTCACTTAACCCTATCCACACTAAACTATCGCCAACTAAACTCCCTTTCTGGCTTTCACTGTAGCTGAAGTTGACAATTCTGCCTCCTCAGGCACTGTTCACATTCCTTTCAAATTGATGATACCACTCACCTGATCAAACAGAAATCTTTGATCATCCATTCTGCCAAGCTATTGTCCCATTTCCTCTCAAATACTTGAACAGACCTTTTGGCTCCCAAGTCTTTACACGTCTTCTTTAGAACTTCATGTTTAATTCCTTCAATCAGATATTGCCCCAGCCAGAGTATGGGGCAGTGAGTTCTACAGATTCACAATGCTCTAAGTGAAGTAGTTTCTTATCATCTCAGTTTTGAACCTATCTCCTCTCACTCTATACCTGTCATTCAAGACTGTTCCACAAGAGGGAACATCCGTTCAACGTCCACCTTATCAATCCTATTTAGCATTTTATATAGAGATAGTAGGAACTGCAGATGCTGGAGAATCCGAGACAACAAGGTGCAGGGCTGGATGAACACAGCAGGCCAAGCAGCATCATAGGAGCAGAAGCCTTTCTGCTCCTATGA